AAGGAAGGAAGGAAGGAAGGAAGGAAGGAAGGAAGGAAGGAAGGAAGTTTGACTTGGCACACTGGAAGAACATACAACATTTGGATAGAACATCTGCATTTTCCTTCCAACGAGCAAACAATTTAAAAGGAATATATGCATAAATACACACATGTATAAAATAGCATGAAATGATTTACACTTGATTTTCCGAGAGCCGTTTTCTGCCCATATTTACAAGGCGGGGCTCCATTTGCTAGTTGTACATCTGTTCCTTTCACGTGACATTCTCACAAAGCTCCAACATCTGGTCAAAATAAACCTCCTTCAGGTACCTGCTTAACTTTTCACATGTCAAAATCCCTTCCCCTCCGAAGATCCCCTTTCCCCCACTGCTGCAGTGTGCGGATCGCTCCTTTCTTGACTGCTCGGTTAATGACCCTGCCTCATCCATCCCAAACAGAACAAAGCCGCTCTAAACATGAGCGGGCGACCCCGGCCCTTCCCGACTCATCCGTCCCAGCCGCCCCTGGCTCCAGGTCTCCCCTCTTTAGGAGAGCGCAGCGGGTCCCCTTCCAGCGCAACTCTGTGCGTGGAGATCTCGCACGGCAGCGAGCGGGATAGCAGCATCCCCGAACTCGGCAGTGTTGCTCCAACATTGGTAAAGCCACATAATGAGTGCTTCATTATCCAAACGCGATACCGTTATTTTTTTCTCCTATTGTTAACTGCTGTTATCATCGCAGCGCTGTTGATTTCCGCGTGGTTCGTCAGGACAATTTCAGAGAGAAACGCGTCCTTGCACGGCACGGGAGAACTTTCACGAAGTTGCTGCAAATATATTACGACATCTTTCTGAAGGCAGTGAGGAAATGTTGCTCCCCACAAGAGCCCAGCCTCAACAAGAGGGTTCGGAGCTGCTAAGCGGGCAGAGACCGAGACTTGCGGTGTGGACATGCAGCTTTCTTCCTGCTTTGAATGTTTGGTTTTGTTTTGCGTTTGGTTCGGACTTTCGGATGGGTGCTATTGTCACTGTTATATTTCCGCTGCTTTATTGTTCCCGTTCTGTAAAACTCGCAATCTCGGACGCTTTTTTTTATACGCGGCCTCTTAGCTGCTTTTAAAAAAGAAAAGGGGACATTTGTACTCGTGATTGTAACCTGCTCCACCTTCCAGTGACCTGCCAAATGCTCCTGCGTATTTTATAGACATCTGGGAATTCCATACATGCCTTAAACTCCAATTACACACCTTCTTCAAAGGACACGTGCTTTGATTTGCCAGGAACATTAAGTGGGCTGAAGCCGAGAGAAGCTGGTGCACGAGTTAATGCGAAATACATCCTGTGCCATGTTTACTGCGGGCAGCTAACGCTGTGCGGCAAATAAAACGAGTCCTGGTGGGACGTGGGTGCGGAAGCCTCTTTTTTCCCCTCAGCCACCCGCAACTTTCTGCGGGGTGGCTTTCCACTCCCACTACCCCAAGACGCCTGTCGATGGCGGAGCGCTCCGTTCCCTGCCGGGGCAGGTGAGGGCTGCGCCTTAAGAGCTGCGGCTGGGCTCTAGGGGGGTCGTGCAGGGAACGGAGCCCCTTCCCCACCCCTCTCCGGAGCTACGGGACCCAGCGGTAGCTCTCGGCGAGCGGCAGGTGCCGGCGCTGCCGGCGCCGCAGGTGAGCCCCTCTGCTCCCGGAGCTTTCCGCGTCGTTTCCTTGATTTTTGTACCCTCCTCTCAACCCCCCACCCCGACCTCGCGTTTGTTTGTTTTGCTTAAAATTACAGATGCAGGGAAAACCGCCTGACATCATGGGAGCGGGACAAGCGTGCGCTTTGAAGGGCTCCTGGGCAGGACTTCAAGTGAAATCATACGCCTGGGAGGAACCCGATACCGGCCTGGAGAAAGCAGCGGGGCGGCCCCTGCCAAACCGAGGAATGCGCGAGGCCAGCGGCCGGCGCCCCCCGCCCCGCAGGAGGCGCAGCTCCGGGTCCCTCTTCTCGTTCTGCTCCGCTCCCAGCACTCCGGGACCGCCGGTGCGGCCGGGCCGGGGAGGTGAGCGGGGAGCGATGGGCCCGGAGCTCCTCTCCGCGCGGGTTCGCGTGTATGTGAGTAAGTGGGACTCCGGTAGCGGTGCCTCGGAGAGAGAAGCAAAATCAATCAGTACTTCCAAAGTTAATTTGCTGATTGCGAGAATGTTTAAAATTCCCAGAAGACGAATTAATATTCATCAATATATTTTTCCCCCTTTGAGGAAGCCTAACTCCAGCTTAATCACTTTTGGCTCAAGCTCTAGGAGAGCCAGGCCTACGCAATCCCCAGCTCCAAACCAGGAAAGGTCACATTTGTGTTTTTCAATCGGGATTATCTCCTTTTAGTGAAGCGGAGGTGGCATTCAGCAGCAGGGTGAGAAAACGCGGGAGCCCACGGTAAGGCGGGTGTCCCCAGGGCCGTGTGGTACCCACGGACAGCTATGGGGGATTTTCTCACCCGCTGCACGCAGTTTGGCGACGGAGTCAGTCCAGTTGGAGTTCAACAAGCGGAGCTGCTCCGGATAGCTCGGCCCGTTTCTCTGGGTTAGCAGAGCGTGTCTCACGGCTTCGTAAACGCGTCGGGATCCTCGCCTCGTATCCCGCAGGTAACCCCGCGCTCAAAGCGCAACGAGCATCCTTTCTCCCCGTTCATTTCCCAATCTGCTTCATCCTAAACGAGCCACTCTCCCTAAAGGAGCCCTTTCCCTCCTTTGTGATTCTGTCCCGTAAAGAACCCTGACTCCCCCTCCCCGCTCATGTCTCCCAGCCCCGCTGCCCCTCTGCTCCCGCAGCCACACGTTACCTCCCAGCGGTGACCCACAGCGGGACGAGGATTCCGGCGAGGTGCAGAGGAGCAGAGGGGCCGCGGGGGAGGCAAAGCCCCTCGGGAGCTCACAGCGGGTCCGCGACCACCGCGGACCCCATTCAATTTCCACGTCCTCGCTAATCCGGCAATACAAACAAGCGCTGCGGGCTCTCTACTGTAAACATTGCTCACTGGCCTAAAATATGCACGATATTAAATTCATTAGACTGTTATGTCAGCAATAGAAGGTAATATGGGGATATGGAAACAAAAACATTCAAGCAATAAAGTCAGCTGAACCTGGGCTATGCAAACAGGCTCTGCTTTGAACAAACGCCCCATCCTCCTTGCCCTGGACACCGGCTGAGTCCCGGCTGCCCGACCCCGGCTCCGCAGGGGGCTCTGCGAGGTTCCCGGGAGGCACTGCGCACCCGCGCAGCCTCCGCGGAGGAGCAGAAAGGGGGATAGGGGAGCCGGGAATTGAGCGAGGGACAGCAGAGGAGGAATCAGCTGCGGGCGTTAAGGGCTGGGGGTGTTTTTTTTTTCTTGGTATTTTTTGTTGCTGTTTGAGCATCTTCCTCTTTTCACCTTCCTCCTGAGCCCTCAGGTCTGGAGATTTCCTCTCTCTTACACGGGGGTCTCGCCGCGCCCTATGTGTAGAAGAGAAGAGGGCGGGTTAGCGCATCCCCGTGTGTTGCACAACGAGAACGTGATCGCCACTCTATATATTATATGGAAGACCCTAGAGAGCAAGAGCAGTCAGACATCACTTCCACCGGAAAACTCCACTCGCTAGGCACTTCCCTATTGCAAACTCACTTTCTCTTTGCCTGCGAATGGACGGATCTCTGCTTAAAACAGATACCTTTTGCTGAAGGATATGGGCAAAGCCGCTTGGGGATGGGCTCCTGCCTCCCACCTGGGGCACGGACAGGGAGGAGGGAGTCCACCGTGCCCCAAAGCCTCGGTGTGCAATAATAAAGCTGTCCCAATAAATAAAGCGCCTGTGTCTGTCAGTAGCCGGTTTATTTTCGTTTTTCGCCTGGTTTGTTTATACTGTGGCCCCTCTCTCTTGGGTGCCTTTAAGCCCAACAAGAGGGTGTTTATCTCCAGCTCCCAGCCGGAGTTCTCAGAGAGACCAAACCTGAAGGTTGTTAAAATTTCAATCATATTTCTTTATTGCAGAAAAATAATATACAATGATATTTACAAAACAATCATAAAAATAGGAATGCATTTAGACACCGGATCTATTTGCATTTTAACATGGGTCATCAATAAATAAATAAAATGTTTATTTTTTTTTCTCAGAGGAAAAATAATAATAATTAAAAAAAAAAATTAGGAACCGGGTATATAACAGCTCGAGCCCAGCTTATTCCCCCCTAAAAAAAAACAAAAAAACAAAAAACAAAAAAAAAACAAGTTTTCATCTCTACAGGGATACTTTGGTTGGGTGCTTGCTTTCATTCAAGAATGAAGTAAAGTCCACAATAACGTACTTCCTCTCCTCAGTGGCTCATAGGCACGACCTCTTGGGAATGCATGCATTTAAAAAAAAAAAAAAAAAAAAAAAAAAAAACCAAAACAACACAAACAAAACAAAAAAAAAAAACAAAAAAAACAACAACAACAAAACAAAACAAAACAAAAAAAACCAACAACAAAAAAAAAACACCTAAAACCAGGCAAATTTAAAAAAAGAAAAGACGGATTCCAACATTCTTCGTCAAAATTAAAAAAAAAAAAAAATTGGAACTCTTCAGACTTCTATCAGAATGCAGAGATGTGTGGATTGTACCGACGCCCACCGGATAGGCACTGTCCAAGCCCTCGGCTCTTTCACTTTCCTTAAATGCTCCCCACGCCCTGCTTTCACTTTGGATGCTGCTCTTTTAATTTCCAAGAAATTCTTGGCACTTTTTTTTTTTTTTTTAAGACAAGAACAACAACACAACACGGTATCCAACTTCAGAGTCTCTAGATTGTCCATTTTCTCCTTCTGTGGGAACAATGTAATCTGCAAAAACCCAAAGAGGGCGGAAAACTCGTTACTGACGATGAAAGGTATGCGCAGAGCCCTCTACACCTCTCTGTCTCCGCAAACACAAGCACGGTGAGAGCCTAAAGGATGCGAGACGCGTGCCCGTGCTGTGCCCGCGGTGCGGCGGCTCCGGGACTCCCCACGGCTGCTGAGGCAGCGAGGAACGCTCCATGGGCCTCGCGTGGGTCCTCGCCCGAACACTCGCGGCCGGGAGCCACCCGCAGCCCCGCAGCGCAGCGCTCAGGCCGCATTCGCCCCGCGTCCCCGCCCGCAGCCCACCCACCCCCGCGGCAGCGCCCCGCCGCTCGTGGGACCTCCACATGAGGTGGCAGCCCCGCGTAGCGGCCCCGTTCTCCCCGCTGCAGGCCGGGCGCCTCGGGACTCGCAGGCCCCCTCCTCCTTCTCCCCCCCCCCGGCACGCGTGGCCGACTCACGACGCGGCCCCCGCGCCTCTCCCCGCCGTTCTGGGGGTCCCCGCCTTACCTAGGGCTCCTGCCGGGGGGATGCGTGGGGGAGAAAGCCGCCTGCTAGTGGGATGCGGACATGGACCAGGCGCCCTCCATTCTCCACACCGAGAAGGCGTAGCTGAGCCGCTCGTGGGCCACATAGCTGCAGCTTGCCATCTTGGAGTCCAGCTCGTCGCTCTGTAAGACCTGGTAGAGGAAGTCGATGTACCTGGCCGCCAGTTTGAGGGTCTGGATCTTGCTCAGCTTGTCCGAGGGCAGCGTGGGGATGATCTTCCGCAGCGCGGCGAAAGCTTCGTTCAGGGACTGCGTGCGCTGCCTCTCCCGCACGTTGGCCATGACCCGCTGGGTCTGCAGCTCCTCGTAGGACTGCGGGCTGCCGCCGCCGCTGCTGCTGCCGCCGCCGCCGCCACCTCCCACGCCCGCCCCGCACTTCTTGCCCCGCTTGCCTTGCGCCGGGCTGCAGGGCTCGTCCGCGGCCCCGACGGCGCCCCCGGCGCTGCGCCGGCTGGAGCGGCGCTTGCGGCCCCCCCTCTTGGCGCTGGGCAGCTGCTGGCGGTCCGGCTCCTCTTCGCTGTTGCTCAAGCTGTCGTCGGCGGGGGAGACTGGCGAGTTTGACTCGTCCTGCTGCATCATCTCTGGGGGGAGACGCGAGAAGCGGGCCGGGAGGGGGGGGAGGGCAGGGAGAAGAGGGGGGCACCTAACCCGCCAGCTCCCCCTTGAGCGGCTGCTTCGCTGGCCTGCGAGGAGAAGGAGGAGGAGGGAGGGAGGGAGGGAGGACCTCACTTTGGGGGGAGGGGGGATGGCATCGGGATCCAAGAGGAGGAAAAAAAACGCCGAGCAAAAAAAAAAAAATTAAAAAAAAATCCCTCCCGATCCCTCCTTGGAGCCCCTTCGAGGTGTCTGGGATTGGGAGAAAGTTGAAGACTTGGAGGTTCTTATAGCTCCTGCTGGCGGAAAGTTTGGGGGCAGCAGTGTCATTGGCCTGACGTGGAGAGGAGGGACTTTTGCTGAGTTTTATAGGAAAGTTTCCGCTTCCCCCCCTCCACGCCC